AAAAAAAAAAATAAAGATGAGAAGAGAACGTTCCTTTAACACACAAAAGTTCTCAAAAAGAATAAATTAGAATCAAGTAACAATAGTTGCCACTGGGAAAAAATATTAGTTGACTGAGGTAGAAGAAACATTTTTCTTTTTTTAAAAAAATCATATATATAATGTATATGTTCTATTTTTAAACTGCATAATTAATTAGACTGGTGCTGTAGATTGGATGCCCTCCCCCAACCTCAATTAAGCTTAAATTCCCACTGTAACTGTTGAGGGTGGGAAATCATATTATGGTAATTCAAAAGTGGGGCCTTGAAGAGGTGATTAGGTTGTAGGACTATGCCACAGTGAATGGATTAAAAATGGTGGTCATAGGTGTGGTTCTGAGAGCTTTATAAGAGCACATGAGAAGTTAGTCTCTTTCCACTCCAGCATTTTCTACCACGTGAAACCCCCTGGGTCACTGTTGCCACCACCAAGACCCTCACCAGATGTGTTCCCTGGACTTTAAACATCCCAACCTCCGAAAATGTAAGTAATAAATTTCATTGCTTACAAATTATCCAGTTCTATGTATTTTGTTATAAGCAACAGAAATAGACAAATACAACTGGAAAGGCAGACAGGTTGATTGATTTAAATAAAACATAATTTTTATCTCTTTATGTAACCTCAAAAAAGTTACAAAATGGTTTACGACAGAAAAGTCCAGTAGTTCTAACATAGAGTCAATTTTTTAAAAGTCATTTAAAAGTCATGCCAATTTTATAACTGAAATAAATAAAAATCATAATTTCCTTTAAAGTATCACTTGTTATTCAACTTCTAAGAAATAATTTTGTTTTATAATGATCTTTATAAGTTTTTATAGCAGAATTAATGTTTATAATTTAGTTAATTTTGTTTAACTGCACATTATCTGAAAATAATAAACATTTAATGAACCACAAGATTAAGTATGTGGCTTCTTTTCAAAAATGAAATGCCAAGTACTTTTTGTAGCCATCTAACCTTTTTTTAAACTCAAGAAAAGATCTACATCTCATGTCTTCATGACAAAAATACTATTTTACTTACTGGTGCCATCTCCATATTATTAATCTGGGCCTCATGAAAGCCTCCATCTGACATAACTTCTTCTTCTGTTTCTTCTTGTGCTGTAGCAACATTTCTTCGCTTGAATAACTGAAAAATAAGAGACTGTTAGTAATGTATCGGTAACATGAGAGTTTAACATCCAAACACTAAGAACCCCATTTAAAAAGCAATATGAATGAACACTCTGAAAATCATTTTAAAAATTCTAAAGCACATGCTGCCTTTAGCCTTTCCTAATAAGGAACTACTTTGAATTTCTCCATAGTCTTATGATCTAATATAGTGAACTCTTATGATATGCTATATCCAATACTTGATAAGGTCAAACTTACTAAGACAGGCCTGACATTACATGGCATAAAAAAGGTAAGGTTGGAAAAGGTAGCTGGGGCATGTTCAGCCATTTCCCTCATCACTTTATGTGAAGTAGGCAAAAGGACAGTGTTAACAATTTAACAGGGAAAATCAAAATAAAAACTATGTCATATATTGGGAAAGACAAAAGATCTAAAATCAGTCACCTAATCACTTACTTTAGGAAACCAGAGAGCCTAGAAATAGTAAAATGATCTTTGACAAAGCAGCAAAAAAAAGACAATTGAACAAAGGTGGTCTTTTTAACAAATGATGCTGGGTATCAACAAATAGTAGCAAACCAAATTCAAAGCACATTAAAAGAATCATTCACCATGATCAACTGAGATTTATCCCAGAATGCAAGGATGGTTCAACATATACAAATCTATAAATGTGACACACCACATTAACAGAATGAAGAACAAAAACCATATAATCATCTTGAAAGATGCAGAAAAAGCATCTGACAAATTTCAACATCTTTTCATGATAAAAATAACTTTCAACAAATTAGTTATAGAAAGAATCTACCTTAACACAATAAAGGCCATATAAGACAAGCCCACAGCTAACATATTAAAAGTGAAAAGTTGCAAGCTTTTCCTCTAAGATCAGGAACAAGACAAGGATGCCCACTCTTGCCACCTCTTTCAACATAGCACTATAAGTCCTACCCAGAGCAATTAGGCAAGAGAAAGAAATAAAACGCATCCAAACTAGAAAGGAAGAAGTTAAACTGTCCCTGTTTGCAGAAGACATGATCTTATATATGGAAAACCCTAAAGACTCCACCAAAAAATTCTTAGAATAAATGAATTCAGTAAAGTTGCAGGATACAAAAATTTACACACAAAAATCAGTAGAAGCGCTTCTACATGCTAATGATGAACTATTCAAAACTGAAATTAAGAAAACAATCCCATTTAAAGCACCTACAAAAAAAATAAAATACTTAGGAATACATTTAACCAAGGAAATGAAAGACATACAGTGAAAACCATAAAACACTGATGAAAGAAATGGAAGACAAAAATAAATGGAAAGATCTCCCATGTTCATGCATAGAAAAAAGTAATATTGGGGGCCGGCCTGTGGCTCACTCAGGAGAGTGCGGTGCTCATAACACCAAGGCCACGGGTTCGGATCCCATATAGGGATGGCTGGTTTGCTCACTAGGTGAGTGTGGTGCTGCCAACACCAAGTCAAGGGTTAAGATCCCCTTACCGGTCATCTTTAAGAAAAAAAAAAAAAAAAAAAAGAAGTAATATTATTAAAATATCCATACTACCTGAAGCAATCTACAAATTCAGTGCAATCCTTATCAAAATTCCAATGACATTTTTCACAGAAATAGAAAAAAAAAATCCTAAAATTCATATGAAACCACAAAAGATCCTGAATACCCAAAGCAATCTTGACTAAAAAGAACAAAGCTAGAGGTATCACACCACCCAACTTCAAATCTATAGTAATCAAAACAGCATGTTACTGGCATAAAAAGAGACACACAGACCAAAGGAACATAATAAAGAACCCAGAAACAAATCCACGCATTTGCAATCAATTTATTTTCAACGAAGGTGCCGAAAACACACATTACGGAAAGGATAGTCTCTTCAATAAATGGTCTTGGGAAAAATGGATATCCACAAGCAAAAGAATGAAACTGAACCCTTATCTCACACAATATATGAAAAAAATCAACTCAATATGGATTGAAGACTTAAACATAAGACCTGAAACTGAAAAACTACCAGAAGAAGACATAGGGAAAAACTTCTTGACACACCGGTCTAGGCAATCATTTTTTGGGTAAGATCCCAAAAACACAGACAACAAAATCAAAGACAGACAAATTGGATTACATCAAACTAAAAAGCCTCTACACTACAAGGAATCAAGACAGTGAAGAGACAACCTACAGCAGGGGAGAAAACACTTGCAAACCATTCACCCAGTAAGGGGTTAATACCCAAAATATGTAAGAAACTCAACTCAATAGTAAGAAAACAAGTAACCTAATTTTAAAAAAGGACAAAGGCCCTGAAAAGACTTTTCTCAAAAGAAGCCAACAGGTATATGAAAAAAATGCTTGACATCACTAATAATCAGTGAAACGCAAATTTAGCATATGATCCAGCAATCCCACTACTTGGTATACATCTAAAGGAAATGAAATCAATATGTCAAAGAGATATCCACACACCCAGGTTCATTGCAGCATTACTCACAATAGCCAAGATATTCATCAACGTGTACATGCATAAAGAAAATGTGATATATATAAACAATGAAATAATATTCAGCCTTGAAAAAGAAGAAAATCTTGTCATTTGCAATAACATAGATGAACATGGATGACATTACATTAAGTGAAATAAGCCAGGCATGTAAAGACAAATATCACGTGTTATCACTTATATGTGGAATCTGAAAAAATCAAACACGCAATAGCAGAGAGCAGAATGATGATTACCAAGGGCAAGGAGCTAGACAGGGTTGGGAAGATGTTGGTCAAAAGATACAAAATTCTAGTTAAACAGAAGAAATGAATTCAGGAGATCTACTGTACAACGTGGTGACTATAGTTAATAACGATGTACTACATACTTGAAAATCCCCATGAGAATAGATTTTAAGTGTTCTTACCACAAAAATAAGTATGTGAATTAGCTCAATTTATCCATTCCACAATGTTTACATATTTCAAAACATCACGTTGTATACCATAAATATATAGAATTTTTATTTCTCAACTTTTGAAAAATGACTCAAAGAGGGGTGGAAAATGGTGCTAGAATATATGCAAAAAAAATGAATCTAGACACAGAACTTACACCCTTCACCAAATTTAACTCAAATCGATCACAGACCTAAATGTAAAAGGCAAAAGTAAAAACCTCCTAGAAGATAACACAGGAGAAATTCTAGATGACCTTGGGTTGGTGGTAACTTTTTAGCTATGACACTAAAGGCACAATCCATAAAAGAATTGATAAGCTAGACTTCACTGAAATTAAACATTGTGGGAAATTCTGGTCAAGATGGCAGAATAGACAGTCCCCAGAGTCACTCTCTTCCACAAATCAATTTACAACTATTAAAATGTAACAACAGACAAGCTGGGGCCACTGGAACTCAGGGGAAGAGGAGGAGAGACCTACGGAGTTCATGAAGGCAGGAGAAACCACAATGAGAGAAAGAAAAAACTGCTCGGAGAGTTTTGGGCCACAGACACTTTAGGGATGGAACTGCTGAGTGGACAGAGCAGCAGCTAGCAAAAGCCACAGCTGTGCCCTTCAGATGGAATTGCTTGGAGGCAGCAGGGGAGAAGAGGGCCTTGGTGGTCCCCAGGACAGCAAGACCACTGATAGGGTTCCCATGGACCAGCAGGAGCGAGAAGCCAGAACACAGCTGAAAAAGGGGAGCCATTCAGAAGCTGGTGAGTCATTGCAAGGGACCAGCACAGGGCCTGTCCCATGGGAAGTGTTTGGAGCACGAGTGGTGGGGGAGATGGGCCCACCAGGAGAACACAGGGACACAAAAAGGACAGCTGATCTGCCCCCCTACTCAGCGCAGGACCACCAGAGGAGACTGGTCGGGAATGCAGAATTGCATGTGGTGCAGTTCGATGAAAATGCTCAGGCCCAGATCAGAGTTTCTACACAACCGGGGAGATGGGCCCACCAGGAGAACACAGGGACACAAAAAGGACAGCTGATCTGCCCCCTACTCAGCGCAGGACCACCAGAGGAGACTGGTCGGGAATGCAGAATTGCATGTGGTGCAGTTCGATGAAAATGCTCAGGCCCAGATCAGAGTTTCTACACAACCCAGGTGCACCAGGTCTCTGGAGAGCCAGAAGTACCTATAAGGTCAACCATTAAACCCTCAGCTGCACAAAAAGCCTTCCCTAGGGAAACAGCAGCAAAGGAGCAATTTAGCTCAACCTGACAGCTCAAGTACTGGTTCCCACAGGAAGTTCTCCCATTTTAGAAGTAAGCAAAGGACAAAAAATTAGTTCCAGACCAGGCACACCACCAGTGCCTCAGAGCCCATCAGGGGACCTGAGGCATGGAGCCCAGGACTGGACCCCACACCCACAACCAGGCATATTGCCAGCACCTCAGGGCCCTGCCCAGGGCATGGAGCTTGGGACCAGACCCCCCACCCACATCCAGGCACAGCGCCAGCACCCCAGGGGCCTGCCTGGGAGTCTGGGGCACGGAGCCAAGGACTGGACCCCCTGAACACGAGGCACACCGCCAGTGCCTTGGGGCCCCACTTGGGGGACTGGGGCATGGAGCTGAACACTGGACCCCCCATCCACACCCAGGTATACTGCTAGCACCTTGGGGCCTGCCCAGAGTCCTAAGGCATAGAGCTAGGGACTGACTGGACCCCACCCCCCACAACCAGGCACACCTACAGCGCCAAGGAGCATGCCCAAAACATCACCTCCATGTGGGTGGCCCACCACAGCTTCCACAGTAACCACGGCTGCCGCAAAAGTGGCTACACATCACAACCACCACGCAGATGGTCCACCAGCCACTAGAGTGCACTGACACAAGGAGAGTCACCAGCAGAGACCAAAAAAAAAAAGAAGAGGATGTCTCTCTCCACAAAACCCATTCCAGACTGACAGAAGAAGCACTGCTCTATGATAATATTGGGGGACCTGAACACACTGTCAGCATTGGACAGAGCATCGAGGCAGCAAATCAAGAGTAACCATTACTGTTCCAGAGAGAGAGAAGAAATCTAGGGTTATCAGTGGTGGGAGTAGGGATGGAGAGGGGGATAGGGAGAGATTGGACAAGGGACATAAAGAATAAGTACAATTTGTAACGATATACATACTGGTAATATTGATTTGATTAACATATGTCAACAATGAATCCCCAAAATATGTACAATCAATCAATCAATCAATAAAAAGAAATTAAACATTGTGCTGTGTGAAAGACACTATCAAGAAAATGAAAAGATAAGCTACAGACTGGGAGAAAATATTTGCAAAATATCTTGATAAAGGACTGGTTTC